ATCAGCCTTCTTTGAAGAGTGCTGTGAGGCGTGAGGGATAGAACAGCTGAGAACCTCTACCCCCGTTCCTGGCACCCAGGCAGCCCTTAGCTTCCTGTGGTTGTTCCGAATTCACCTCTCAAGACTGGATCTAGGCCAGTGGTTCTCAACCTTGGCTGCACATTAGAATCACCTGGGAATCTTTTTAAAATCCTGATTTCTGGGCCTCATCCTCCGGAAATTCTGTTTCTTTGTTACTAATGTTGTGGCCCCACCCCATAACAGAGAAACAGAATTTCTGGAGGCTCGCGAGCCGCGGTTTGCCGACCACGGATCTAGAGTAAGACACTTCGCCCCGGTGGGTTTGGCTCAGTGGATAGAGCATCGGCCTGCAAACTGAAGGGTCCCGGGTTTGATTCTGGTCAAGGGCATATGCCAGGGTTGTGGGCTCGATCCCCACTAGGGGGCGTGCAGGAAGCAGCTGATTTATGATTCTCATCATTGATGATTCTCTCTCTCTCCCTCTCCCTTCCTCTCTGAATTCAAGTTTTAAAAATGTAAAAAACATAAGACACTTCACTGTACAGATCCTCTGTATGACCATGCCCTTCCTGTCTGCCTGAACTAAAAGGTTCCCCCGCACCCCTGGGCTCTCCCCTCCGGCTTGCCTCTGGCTCTGTGAGGACAGGGCACACCACAGCTCAGGCAGGTGCACACACCTCTCCACAATGTAGCCACTGGGCGGATGCGGGGCTTTCTCACGCTATCTTGCCTGTTGATACTCGCTGTTGGCCTCTCTGCCTGAAGCCTCACTTTGAGTTAGTGTCATCAAGAAATAATTGATCATGATCTCGGTCCCTTTCTTCTGTCAGATATGACAACTCAAAATATGTTCTAAACGTGCCCCGGGGGTTTCCCAAAATACATTTCCTCGGGCTTTTCCTCACTGAAATGCACGTCAGTTTTCTCACCCAAATCAAGATCTTACAGAATATCTAAGCCAGCCAAGGTTTGTTATCAGGTACAAATTATATTTTAATTGCAAGTATTTACCCAAATCATTTTATAAAATAAAAGTGTTTCAAAAGTTTCAGGCAGGTGGCACCTGGTCTTGGTGACGCTGGGCACTTGGGTGATGTCATTGCATCCCTTACCTCTCTCCCCAGTGGGCACGATCCCTCCTCCAGCCACATCCCTGCAGCCTGCGTCCATCTGAACGGGGACTCACTGTGACGTCTGCCTTGCTCCTCCATGGTGAGAGCACAAAGAGCAGGTTCCAGAAGCCTGTCCTCTTTCTATCCCAGGACCCAGGGCCATACTCAGCGAAGGCGGGCACCCAGAACTTGTTGCATGAATGATGTCAGAAACCTTCTGTACAATTTCTACAATTCAGAGAAGCCTGAAATCTTTGATCAGATGAGATGTTCCTAATGGCCCCCAAGGGTAAGGACCCTGATACCGATTTCCTCTAAAATGAGCTTCTGTGGGCCTCCCCAGGGTCAGGGAGCCGGTCAGTTCCACGGGCCGCTCCTCCCATTGTTGCCTGGCCTGGTCCTCACTAATTCTGTGTGTTAAGCCCAAGGAAGCTGTGCCTTCCACCCACCAGCCGCAGTTCTGTGATGCAAACCTCCACAAGTTTCCACTTGCTGCTGCTTCTGGTAGACCTGCAAATACCCACCTGCTTGCCTGACCCGTGCGGGGCCTCCCTTCCCTAAAAGGACCCCCTTTCCATGCCCGGCACCCTGTCCTGGAAACACTCTCATTTGTTCTGGCCCCTCTTTCAATGTAATTCCAGGGCCAGGCAGAACGTGATATAGGAGATGGTGAGGCACAAAGAGAAATGGACGTGGCTGTTGTGACCTGAATATTAACAAGCTTGGGTACAAAAAAAGTGAGAGTCCTCTGGCCCTTTAAAAGCTGGATCTTCCCTGGCCAGGTAGTTGATTAGAGTGTCACCCCCATACACCAAGGTTTCGGGTTCGATGCCTGGTCAGGGCACATACATAAAACCAATGAATGCATAAATATGTGAAACAACAAATCTCTCTCCCTCTCTCCTCTCTCTCTCTCTCCTCCCTTCCTCTCTCTTAAATAAATAAACAATATTTTAAAATAAAAGCTGAAACTGTTGGCTCCCAAGCCAGGGGATTGTTCCAATGCCTGACTCTCAGCAGACGCTCCATGAAGAGGCAGCTTGGAGGAACCTCTCTGTAAGATCTTCTCTTGAAAAAGTGGGGAAAGCAGAGAGCCCTCTCCACAAAATCCTCATTTCACTCCGCCTTAACTCTTCAGGTCAAGGACACCGAGTGGAGGGCTGTGTGACTGTCCTACCCTCCGGGTTCCCGCAGGGGATCCCCAACCCAAGAGCCCACTTGGCCTAGGCACCGTCTGGCCGTGGGGGAGGGACGGGGACTCCTCAAACAGGCAGAGGCCAGGGCACATCACCTTTCTTTCAATGATTGTGCTTATCTCTTGAATGACAAGCCACCTTTTAGGAAGGTAAGATAGATGCACACATTAGAACAGATGAGAAATGCCCCTGTTGTTTTCCAACAAGACCGCGGAGGGGAAAGGCAGGGCTGTGTGGACTGACTCCCATGCGTACAGGCCTGAGGTTTGTGTGCATCAGGCCACGGCCGCACCCACGCTTGCATCCAGCACCGTCCCTGACATCACAGACACAGGGAGCTCTCAGCGCCGCCTCCTCCTAATTCCCAATAGCTAGGGGCCCTCAGGGCCTGGCCACACATCGTGTGCTCACCATGGGGCTGGGAGCACAGGGAGGAAGGAAACTGCCTTCTTGAAGGAGGGGCACGGTGCTTGTAGGACCCCAGGGACTGGGGGAGGTGTCTGCTGGGGTTTGAACACACGACCATCATGGGCCCACGTCACCTGAGAGCAATGCTCCACATCAGGTGACACACGGCGATTTGGGCAGGAATTCTGTTTTGTCACCCACATGCGATCAGGGTTGCAAACAAAGGGTGCGGTGTCTCCACTTCCTCCTTGGGAGAGAGGCTCTCAGTCCCAGGAGCAGTATCCTCTCTCCCGAGGAGGACAGATGGTTCTGCGGTTCCCACAAGTGGCAGGCCTTCGGGCCACGCGCACTGTAGAGCGTGGAGGTGAGCTCAGTGCACCGGCCAGCACAGGAGCAGCCTGGGGCACAGGCCCGGCTGCTGTACACACCAAGCCCTCCGCTTCCTCCCCAGACACCGTGAAAGCCACATCCCAGTACTTACCTTTGCCCTTTTCTCTGCCAGTTGAGACAGAGATAATACCTTTTAAATGCATTTTATCTATTTAAATGAAAATTCGGTTAGTTCACCTGAGGCCTCCAAGTCCTGTTACTGCTCTCTACTCAGAGAACCCTGGCAACCCCAGCCCAGCCCCGCCCCAAGGTTTTGGTACGTTTTCCTCGGATTCAGTGTAAGAGCCGTGTGCGGGCTTTGTGTGGGGAATAAGATGGCCTGGGAAAAATGAGAAACACAGAGTCGCCCTCCAAAACCTCTGTTTAAGCGTGTGTCTATCCTGGAGTCCACAGAAGACTTGAAGAAAGTGCTCCGGCCACCTTGGCATTCTTCTCGATGAACTGGTCTGTGAGTCATCCTGAAAAGGCGTCTGCCTAAAGGAAGACCACTATCCCTTCAGTGCATGATCAGCCAACAACAACAACAACACAGAGGAGGTAAGCCACCTCCTAAAGTAGGGGAAAAAGGTCTAACAAGTCTCAAGAACTCCAAGATGTTTTTATTGATTTCAAATTCCAATAGAATATGTTTTATCTAAATATTTTATCACACAACTGAAACATCGAACTTTTTTTTCAGAAATAGTTAAATACATCAATCTAGTTACAAATTCTAATATAAAGAGTACAAAATATAATGTTATAAATTGTCTTTAAAAAAAGAAATACAAATTCTATGGTCTTTTGCATTTTACTGCCTCAAAGTATCATTAGCAAGACTGATGAAGAATGAACATTCTCCCCGTCACTGCCCACGGGCATGCGGGGCTCTGGGTGTGCGGGGACCCTCCCTTGACACCCTGGCCTGTTGCTGTTTCCTTTCTTTGCTCAGTGAAGTAAATGTTCTGCAATTAGAACTCGGCAAAGGCAAAATCAGCAAAGCAGCGCGTGCGCTCCCTGCAGGTAGACACCTTCAGAGGGGAAGGCAGACTGGTTCAAAGACAAGGTCCCTCTCCTGGGCACACGCCTGAAACCTCTGCGGTGGGGGCAGGGGAAGGGGAAGGGGCTTTGTTTTCAAGAAGGAATGTGTCTGTGAAAGTGCGGGAAGTGCTCAGACAGGCTGCGGTCCCTTCTGTGATGCAGCCCACACTCATCCTCAGAGCCACACTCTCTCTGTTAGAAGAAGGGATGCTCCCAGAGCCGGCCGGCACCCTAGGGAGGTGCCACCTGCTCCCTGCAGCACCCAACAGTCCACCCTCAGGGGTGCTGAGTTACTAGGCCCACCTGCCTTGGCATGGCTGTCTGTGGGATGTTGGAGGCCCTGTAGCAGAGCGGCTGGGCTGGGCAAGATCCACCTTCCTTCTCTCACCAGGTGGCCCCAGGTGGATTCTCAGTGCAATCTCTATGAAAACCTTCTTCTCAGGAAACCAGTGTCTCTCTTGCTTCAAAAAATAAATAACTATTGGGGGGGACCCCTTAAAGCACTTAATGCTTTCCAAAACCAAAACGGCCAAAAACCCTGTGGGCCTGAAAATGCGTGTTGTGTTTTGACCAAGGTGGAAGCTGTCCACCTAAGATTGCTCTACGCACGCCCAGGAAGCAGGCAGAAAAGTGACCGAGCCGTGGACCTGCCCAAAAGCCAATTCTTCGGGCAACTGAAATGTTCATTCTTCAAATTAAGGAGGACGAGTGAGGAACCTGAAAGATCTCTATCAGCTCATCGTCTGTGTGTTATCTGAGGCGACAATGAGTAGGAGACACGAATGGGAGAAGCAGAGCCAGTGGCAGCCACGCCAGGAGCCACTGGTGGCGCCGGGGACACACACGGAGAAGCTGCAAGTAGACAACCAAACCCTTTATTGTCCAAGTCACATTAGACGCCAACACTGTAAAATCCTGTGAAGAATCGAGGAAACAGCAGATCGGTAGAGGTAGTAGAAAAGGCTGGAACAGTCAGAGGTGACTTACAGGAGAGATCACGCGGAAATCATCGTTCGAAGGAAAGCAAATTGAAACACATTGGCTAAATAAATAAGAAAACACAAATCATATTAAATACTACGGCAGGGCTGACAGGAAGGCATTCACAAACCAATACAATACTGATGATCGGTGGAAGAAGGAACCACAGTCAGGCTGGAAATGGTGTGTCTCAGAGGGGGGCGTCCTTGGGGGTCCCCTCCTGTCTCTGTCATTAAGTAGAAACCTCATTTCTGGACTCCTTGCAGCTCACAGTTATTTGCCCTGACTACGGTTTCACCCTCTGCCGATGCCCACCCCTCAGCCCGCCAGGCTCCCCAGAGAGGACTCTCCGTGAAGACACGCCCAGCTCAGAGTGCCAGCTGGGCTCCTGGGTGCTGCTTTCCAACAGTCAGAAGGGACACGCCTCCGTGTCACTTTGGGTACAGACTTTCTTTAATAACTAAAACTCAGAGAAAGAGACCAGGACTAAGTCACTAGCCCCTGTGTGTTCCTAAACTGTCATCTTTCACTTTCAGCCAAGAAGCGAAAAGCCAGAAAATGCAGAAATGATCACTTTGGGGAAAGTATCGAAATGATCCAACATAAGTCAACAGAAAGGCATTGTGGTTTCTAAGGTGAACAGAGGAATGTATCTGCTCAAAATAACTTTACAGAACAGTCAGTCACAGTCGCTTAACCGTATTTGCAAGGACATTCCCAATTACACCGACAAGACAGGTCATTCTGGTACATATCTGGTGTAAGAATATCAGGAAAACCAAGTAAAAAATTAGATATACATACACACATATACATATGTGTATGTGCTGTATATATGTGCATATACATATGCACATATACATATATATATATAAACTAGCCAGTTACATTGCATTGTTTCCAAGTGTTGCAAAGTAACCTGAACCGTCAAGTAATTTAAATTCAGTAACAAGTAGAATCCAGAACCAAACACTAACTAATAACAATAACAACAATAATAATAATATAATAATTCAACAAATCATTAGAACAAAAAAAAAAACCACACTTTAGGGTATGTATGTGTGTGTGTGTTTGTGTGTGTTTAAACAACTCTTTGTATCAGAAGCCCATTTTCTACAAAAACTGCGCTAACCCATTACGGTATGAAGTAAACTGTCGCTCTCACCAGTATTAAAGGTTAAGGATAATTTCTGTACATGTAAAATTATTGCTTTTTTGAAAAATATATGTAGCATGCTCATTTTAATCCACTTCCTGCCTTTACAAAATTTCACAATTAAAAAAAACCTAGTAAAGCTTTTGCAAAAAATTTCACAGAACATTTTCATTCAAGGCAGCAGTAACTTTTGATAATGCATAAAATCCTATGTGCAAACGTCTGAAACTCTCAGAAAGGTTACCGTCATCAGCCGAGTGTCACGGTACCAGGGAAAGAAACTATTTGTATCTGTGGACTGGGATCTTCACTGCGTACACTGCAGGATTTAAGATCCTCTGTTGGGGGCCTTAACCCCACCACGAAAACTTACATTTGCCTGACTGAGGAAGAGGTATATAGAGCCGCCCACCCCACCCAGGGGCCTGGGGACCTCCATGCTCTGGGAACGAGGATGCTCGCTCATCCTGTGGGGGGCACCAGGAGGGCATCAGGCCCGCGGAGAAACAGGCCTACTTGCTGGGGTGGGGCAGGGAGAGAGAGCAGAAGGTTCCAGAGCACCAGCTCAGGGTGATGGGCCCCCAAGTCTCCCAGGGCTCTCCTGCATGACCAAAATGGTCCAGACCTGGATGGCGTTAAGACGGGCAGCCTTCCTTTGTGAGCAGTTTGCAGAATGTAGCCCTGTTACAAGAGGTCCTGAGAATAAACAAAGAAGCCTGCTTTTCTTAGTGTTCAACTCGCTCTGTTCCGGAAGCAGAACAGAAACATCCCCATGGCTGTGTTCCCGCCCACATGCTGAGCACAGGCGTGGAGGGGAGGAAAGGAGCCATGGGGATGCAGAGGGCCCCGGGGAGGCGGCCTAACCTAACGGTGGGACAGGGGGAGTTTGCCACCGCCCCGCCCCACCCAGCCTGGTACGCACGCACAGCACCTGCACGCCCCCTCCTTCCTGTCTCATTCACCACATAAATACCCACTAAGACGGGAGAGGCCATAGCAGTAACACTGTCAGCTCAACCCCAGCCCCGCCATCGCCCACAGTCCTGCACACACGGCTTCACTCGATCCCACACGCGTGAGCAGCTCTTTTCCAGTGTCTCCACTCGTGGTGAGCAGCACAGACGTGTGCTCCCGCTGTGCCTGCCAACGCCACGTGGGACCATGGTCCACGAGCACGCACACGCGTTCGGAACATCTGCATGGAGTTCTAGAGTTCAGCGTCTTTATTTATTCCTCAACGTCCAGCCAGGAGAGGCCTGGCCCTGCAGCTTCCGGGCCAGCACAGCGGTCTAAGATGAGGGGTGGCGGGTGGGGAGGGAGGCCACTCTTCCTCGCGCGGCGGTCAGGGTCTCTGCTGGGAGGCAGCTGGGACATCCAGGAGGGTACTGCGAATGGCTGTCACGGGGCACCGGGGTTCGCTGGAGACGGGGTTCGCTTTAGGTGCCCTTTCTGAGAGGCACTGTCTGGACGGCATCTGGGTTAGAAAGGTCTCTCCCCTGGATGAGAAAAGGAGACAACAGAAGAGCTCATTTCTGCCCTTTGGGTTTCTGGGTGCATATGTCCTATGGATCTTCTTACCCTCACCCAAGAACATAAACCATGACCTTCGCGGCGCAACCTCGGTGGGTCGGCAAAGACCCTGACTTTAGCTGTAGCTCCCTGCACACCAGCAGGATGCATTTTAAAATATGTCTTCACTGATCTTTAGAGAGAGAGGAAGGGAGAGGGGGAGGGAGAGAGACATTGATAAGAAACATCGATAGGCTGCCTCCTGCATGCCCCCTACTGGGCACAGAGCCCGAAACTCCGGCATGTGCCCTGACCAGGAATCGAACCCAAAACCCAGGTATGTGCCCTGATCAGGAATGAAACCAGCAACCTTTCAGTGTGCAGGACAATGCTCAACCGACTGAGCCACCCCAGCCAGGGCTACAAACATTTGGTTTAGGAAGACTGCAGAACCTAGGTAACCTGAGGAATGAGGCTGTTAAATTTAGCCCCCAAATCTAGATGCACAGGTGCCCATTTCTCTTTATAATTAAAGGGAGGTGTTCAAATAGTATCTCATTGTTTGAGAAAGTCGTTTTCACGTGTTGATTCCCTAAAACTGACACTTTACTACTGAACATTGCAGTCCTACAGGGTTTTTAAGGCATGGATGGAATTCACCTGAGAAATCAGGCAAAGGGGGAAACACAGCTGTGGGACAGGAGTCAGAAACGCAGGCACAAAGAGGACACAGGGTATTCTGATTGCGCGCACATTGTTTTGGGTTTTTTCCCTCCTATAAAGAGTCATCAGAAAACAAGAAGAGTGCTTTTAGAGAAGCAGGCGTTTCTTTTTTGCAGTGTGTGGTCTTTGCAGTGTTGTTGAAAGAAATACGACCTTTCTCTGAGGCATTTTAATGTTCTAGGGATGGATGCTGACTTCTGGAACTCTATGAGGTCTGCTCCTCCCCTTCTGTCTTTATAAGGAAGGGACCCTGTCTGTGCTCACGTCGGGGGGTGACAGCACGCATACAAGAAAGCCTGCCCCCCAGTACACACAGGGACCCCTCAGCCCTCAGAGGGCGGTCGGCCTTCAGAAGAGGCGCCCATTGGCAGGTGGTGTCAGGCTGCCTAACCAGTCTGCACGCAGCACCTTACTGATCATGGTCCGGACCCAACAAGCCAGACACAGGCAGGGCTCCTGTCACGGTGGGCCACCTTGGATGACTCACCAGTGACCATCATGACGTTTGTAGTTTGTCATTCTTAGAGAAAAATGGACCGTGAGTTTCAAGAGGTTTGTTGGGTTTTATGATGAAGAAAACTGCGAAGACAAATGAACTGAATTCTGGAATTGGATCTGAGAATCCAACAGTGATACTGAAAAGAGACTGTGCCTACGTCCAAACACTCCAACCTACGTGAGTCCCATCGTCCACATTATAATACCCGCAGCTGAAAACGAGACAAATTAGGTTGCCATTGTTTTCTCATTTCCTGTTATTTTGATTAATGAAATTATTTCCCCAGCTTAACTGTTTTAGAATAACACTTAGAATAATAAGAAATCATGTATTAATCATAGTCTTTAAACTTTAGCAAAGAATCTAAACCAATCAAAACTCCAAGTTTTCACATTTTAGCAAAAACCAGTCTGGTCTTTTAAACCCCCTAACCCAGGAGGTTGGGGAGAGAGGGTTAATTTTTTTCTTGGTTTTAAACTTTAATTTCTAACATTTCACAACCAGTTATAATGAAAAAACCATTTCTCCACAACACTAAGAAACCCTGAGTTGTTGTGTTTTTTTTTCTAACATCATAGGACAATGATACCCGCTTTGCAGCATATTATTTTCACAAAGGTTCTTTCTAATGATGACTATTGGTGATTATGAGAAATTAATCATGCTGAACATATGTCAACGCATCTTCAAAGTGACAACAAGCATAAACTGCTCCCCCATTTAGAAGTGTGCTTGAACTCTTAGCTACCTTTGTGGATAGAATTACCATCAAAACACAAGCACAGTTCATGCCCAAGAACTGGAAGAATTATCCCCACAGCTATGGATGCTTCGCCATAAAGACAGCTCCTCCCCTCCAGTGCCCAAGCCCTCTCACAACAGAGCAAAAGGATGAGACGCCCAGAGAACAGACAGTGTGCCCACTAACCACCCACCAGCAGCCCCACTACTGAATCCACAACTTGAACTTCCGTCTCAGTGACCCTCCCACACTGTCCATCAGAGGAGTGTGTTGTGAAGCAATGACTACACTTCTGGGGGCCCCCCACCAAGGGCGTGCTTGTAACCCAGCAGAGGCTTAACCAGAGGACGTACAGAAGAGAAATCACAGCGGAAACCACATCCAAAGGAAGTCCCTTCTCCTCTCCTCGGAGCTCGTGTTCATTCTGACCTGACTGACTTCTGTCAGTTTCTGCCCATGTGCCCGGACCTCCTGCCAGGACCCGTCTCCCTGAGGTGCAGGTGTGTGAGGACCCGTCTCAGTTATCCAGCACAGAAGACTCAGGTGTTAACAGGGCAAAGGCAGCTGTCCTCTGGGTGCCCATGTAATGATGACGTCTCCACCGACATGCAGTCTTCTGAACAGAGAGCCACGCAAGGAAACGACGTCTAAGCTGACAACACTGTTCCCAAACTAATCTTTCACTATCTCCTTCCAATAAGGGGCAACTAGCTTACAGCCTGCAAAACAAAACAAGACCAAGCCTGCTGCCAGGTTCTGACAGGCGAGGACACCCAGTAAAGCACAGAGGCATGGAGGGGAGTCCCAGCTCGTCCGGCGGCAGCGACGGGCACGCATCCAGAGGGAAAGGTGTGCGTCCCCCTGGTCACCCACATGCGCGGCCCCCGGGGACTCACCCTGCACACGAGTCTCCCCCATTAGCAAGGACGGTCATTGGTTTTCAGAATAACTGACAAGAGCTACGACTGAAGTGTGCGGGGCACGGCCCACTTTCTATGTTGGTTTTCACAGTAAGAATACAGGAAGTGTCCCTGTGGTCCTTATTTTATAGATGGCAGGCTCGGGCGAAGTTAACAGGCAGAAGGTCGGAGTTAGGGCCGACCCTGCCATCACCCCATCTCTCAGGTGACACTTCAATCCTGGCAGACACTTCAATTCCAAAGCAGGTTAAGGAAAATGGAATTTCCTTAAAGGACCAGAACAGGCAGTGATTAGCCAACAAAAGCTACTTCACACACAAGGACCCGGAGTGCTCTCAGAGCCGGGATCTCGAATGTGGCACGGAGCCAGCGAGCTGCCCGCACGGGAGGGGCGTGTGAACCCGGCTCGGCCTTCCCATCGCCAGCCTGAGCTGTCCCTGTCCTGAGCCCGAGGAGGACAGTGGATCACAAGAGCCTCCCAACAACAGTCCCTGCGTCACTGTGGGCAGGAATCAGGAGGTTAGTGGGGAATGAGTATAAAATAGCAGAACGGAGTTTATAGAGACAATGTAAACGCATCTTTCCTCCGTCAGAGTCCAGGGTGACTAACGCCGCTAAGAATTCCCAGCATAACTATAAGCAACACAGAAATGATTTAAAACACAGGCCGGGTGGTTGGCTTTACTGAGCTACTTCTCCCCATGACAGAAGCATTTTAAAGAGGCTCCCGCAGAATTAATAGGCAGCAAATAAATGGATGTGTGTTCCCGGAGACTCGCTGTGTTACTCCTATCTGCCTGGCTCCCACCCCTGTCAAACACGCATCGAAAAGCCACGTCTCGGGTGGATTTAATGGGTCGTCTGTGCACACAGGAACCCTCTGGACTGACTCATGGTGTCATCTCAATATGTAATTCTCCAATTATGGCACGACCTCGCTGAGACGCAGCCACAGACGCAACGGTGCCTCTTGTCACCGGGGCTGATTTCTGTTAAAAAGGACAGTGCTTCGAGCCGAGGTCACATGTGTTGGGAAATCTTCTCATTCGGCATTCTGCAAGCTGTTATTTATTTCATAAGTTGTCACAGCATCATGAAATAACTGCTTGACATTCTAAAACTATAGTTTTATTAAAGAGAGAAAAGTCACTTAGTAAAACATGGTAACAAACGGGAAGGCATTTTGTCAATGACATGGGAAGACAGGCTTTGAACAACAATAGGAATTCTAAAAATGCAGAAATAAATTTAAAAACGGAAGTCCCTGGGCAGGTCATCCCTCATTCACAGAAGGTTCTGCTGAGGTCCTGTCACCTCTTGCCATTCTCTTCCAGTGAAGAAGACTAGAGGATGCCTGCAGTCCCTCTGACATCCCATCCCCCTCATCATCAGCAAGCAGGATGCCTCCAATGATTGGGTTTGCCAGGGCAGGGGCAGGGCAACCTTCCTCCCGCTCACCACCTGATGGGGCTTGATGTTTATCTGATGGCAAACACACCCCTGAGCATTCCCAACGGGAGCGTCTGCAGTTTCAGAACGTCCTAAGGCAAGAATGTTACACAGAAATGCTGGTGGGAGAACAAGAGGGAGGCAGTGACGTTCTGTAGGAGGACAACAAGGAAGGAGAGCATTAAAACCACGTGCTCTCAGCCCAGGATGGCACAGGGGACCGACGATGTCGAGTGCGTCCCCACTGCAGAGCAAGGCACACAGTCCCATCACCGCTGGTTCCAAGAGTTCCGCCATGCTGTGCAGACACCGAGTGGTTCGCATACAAAAGCCACAGGAGCATGGTCACATATGCATGGACACGGATGTTTTTACACACCATGGCCATGCGGTAGAGTGCGTGATGTGGAGGACACAGAGTAATACAAAATTAGGGGTCTTGAGAGAGGAGACTAAGCATGATTTCTTCTCAAGAAAACATATAAAAGCAGCCGGGGTGAGAGAGTGTGAATGTCAAAAGCCTTGGGCCCCACCAGACTCTCCCAGTTCCCACAGCCCCAACAAGACCTTGAGCAGCTGGAATGACACTCCCAGTTTCCAGTCCCCTGCGCTGGGCTGTCCTGCAGGCCTAGGCTCCACGTCCAAGCCCAGCAGGTGTCTGTCTGCATGTCTGTCCCGAGAGAGCACCTCGGCTCATGCTCCCGCTACCGTGCTGCAACCCAAACCTCCTGTCACGCCCCTCGGGAGACCTACTTGTTTGGGGGCATCTGTGGAGGTGGCGTGGACGTCAGCACCTCGGAGGCCATTGGACTCAAACACCACTGTGGGAACAAGGGGAGTGTTAGCGGCAATCGGGACCATTATAGATCAAGCGCTCCACACAAAAAGACACCAGCGCCGAGCCCAAGGCTGGGAAACACCAATTTACCATCACACTTCCGAAGGGACTGTGAAGCTGCCGCCCGGGGCCACTGCCCTTTTTAATTCAGACGCGGCTGCTGAAGAAAGCCTCACTGACAACATTAATTACCAGCCTGTGGGAAGGGACCCTCCTCCTGCCTCACTTACCAGTTGGCCCCTGTCATTTCACATCAGACCGGCTTATGTGTGATCCTTCACACTTCTGAGAATGGACCCTCCAGCCTCCCGCTCCCGGTGGGTGACACACGGCTTCTCAGCCTGACACGGTCTCAGGGCCGCGCGTTCCTATGGGCCTGGGATCCGTATCCCTCCCGGGTGCCTCCGGAGGGTCCCGGCCACACCGTAGGGGGCCCAGCGCCTGTCACACTGACAGTGGCTTTGATTTCCGTGAGTGCTGGTGGCAGCATAGCTCATTCGCATATTTATTTCTGGGGAGTCTACTCTCTAATTAAAACGAAACATTTGCAAACAGGCTTATCTCAAATGAAACCACATGGCACTTGATGCAAAGAAAAATCTGTTTCAGGAGAGTCTGGCGCACAGTCACAGAAGGGGATGCATCACCCTCCCCCGCCCCCCCACAAGGACCTAGGTGTCCACATGTCAATGACGTGCCCCTGCAGAGGACACCCACACCCCACGGGGACAAGGAAGGGAGGGGTGGAGGGACAGAGGGACGGAGGAACAGGGCGAGCCGTACCTGAGTGAGCCCGCATGTGTGCCCGCAGGTGGCTGGGCTGGTGGAAGCACTTCCCGCACTCCATGCAGACGAAGTCTCCTTGGCGGGCCTGCGTCCGGGGCGTCCCTGGGTGGCAATGGCCAAGGGGTGCAGATGCAGGAGGGGAGAGGAAATCATCATTAGTCTGTCTGATGCGACCTGAGGGGAGCTACCTTCCTTGAGGCTCCTCTGACAGAGCCAGGCACAGGCAGGGCCCCGAGCGAGCACGAATTACAGCGAATTAAACTCACTCCCGTGATGAGCCCGAATGGGCGGCTGTCAGGTGTGCGGCTCCAAGCAGCTGGATGCTCGCCCAGCCTTCTCAGGATCTGTCAGCGGCACACCAAGCAAATCGGAGTGACACTGGGTGGCCAGACCGGGCGCCGGAACTCGGAGGCAGCAAGGCCGGCCCCGGCCCCGGTCGATATGCTGGGCCACGGGCCAGGGGCAAGCCATCAACACCTCACCCACTGGGCCCGCACCTGTGTGTCCCACGCTGTCCCCACGGAGCCTATTGGGAACACCTGGGAATGAGGCCCTGGGCCGAAGCACTGGCCTCAAGTTCCCTTCTGATCCTAAACGCAGTCAGCTTTGCTCGGAAAAGGGAAGCCGATATGCTCACTCATCTCAATACCTTTCCTGTTATGGTGTCTTGAAGAAAAAGCTAATTTTCACAGCATGGTGGCTCCACAGAGACTTCCCTGAGCTCAATGGTAACTCAAGTCAATGGAGGAACAAGACACGAAACTACTCACTAGAGTTACCTCTGAAGCAACACATTTTTAAATGAAGCTCAGTGAGCTGTTTATGGGCTGAACGTGTGACATTTTAGTGTGAAAGCGTCTTAGTCAAATCAGCAGAACCCACGTCACGATTCCCAAATCAGATACCTCCACAGATAAAACAACACACAATCGTTGATACGTTGCAGGTAGCGTTCATGGAGAGAAGAAGCAAAGAAAGGCACGAACCGGCAGGCAGGCCTGTCTGATTTCTCACGTTGACAAGTCATTACCCCGAGCCTCCGAGAAATTCAAGAACTTGCCCACCCAGTTCTCAGTTCAGGAACGCAAAAAGCATAAGACACATCATAACCAACACTTTGTCATTAATGGAAAACCACTCACTAATGTTGGCAAGGGGCCCATGCAACGTACAACAAGAAAAGCATGACTCAGCAACTTCAGCTGTCACCCTCGGGCTCAGGCAGCAAGCGCATGGGTGGAGGGAAAGCTCCGGAGGGCTGTCCCTTCTGAGCCAGGCCCTCCTGCAGGGGCTGGCACCCACGCCCCCACGTCTCACTGAGTCTGAGTACACACATCCAGTGTGAAAATGGCTACACGGCTGGCTTTGTGTTCAGGGACGCCTTTCCTTCCTTATTTGGGTCCAGGAAACTCTCAGCTCAAAAAGCACTCTGCTCCCCACTCCCTTCCACCACCCAGAGGCGCTCCCATGGAAACCTCCTCTGACGGTCACCATGGCTGTCCCGTTTTCCCAGGTACAATCAGACTGCTTCCCATGCACAGTCCCTGCCTACACGAGACACCTGCTAACGATGGTGACAGACAGCACGGCGCTTGTGTCTGAAGTCACATTCAAACACAAGTCATTATAACACTGTTTCCCTGAGGAAATCTCTCAGCTGACTACTTCCTATCCAAACTACTCCTCTACTCACCATTCTTACTTCCTCAATTAAGGATGCATCAGCATGCGTGCACACACACACACACACACACACACACGCTTCCCTGCACATTCTGCCAGAGCATTTTATCTTTACTTCCTAAAGAAAGGACCCTTGCCCTTTGTGGTCAATAATATGATGCCAAAGCTACTGCAAAATTCTGAGTTAATCAAAAGGTTATGAACTTCGTTAGAATTGAAGCCCACCTGGTGAGCGGCAGTGCTAACACTCTAACCCAGAAACCAGAGGTGTGCAAAGTGGAGTCAGAAGGGAGGAAGCGGCCTGGCCAGCTTTCCAGGGACGCTAACCCTCGTCAGATGCTCACCCTTGTCTGAAAGATTCAGGCCAAGGAAGCACAGTCTTTCAAATCATCATATTACTGCGTCCCTGGTAGAAGGGATCATTTTTAAGGGCCAATAAGAAAGACCTTACATAGTATTCTATCCAGCACTATGTCATTCCCGTTAGCTTTAGTTTTTTTATTCTAAAACCCATACTATCATATACCATTGGCTAGCCACAAGTCTGGAAACAGAGATGATTTGTTGTTTTATTACTATTCTATCAACAAACCATTCAGGTTATAGTCACGTTTCCAGACTTGGCAGCCACTCTGTGGAACAATGTTTTTTCCGTTCGTAAATGGTGAGTCGGTGAGCCCGAGGGAAGGGACAGCGTCACTTCCTCATAACGCCTTCCTCTTTTGGCAGCACTTCCAGACTATCATTTCTTCACAAGCATCTTCCACCTGAAACATGTGTGGGGAAAGGTCTCTGAGAACTGTCTTCCCTCCTGAAAACACCTGACGTCTTCGAGACCCCCGCCTGAGAGCAACGTGCTGTGTGAATGGAAACGTCACTGAAAAAAAAATCACAGAATCTCACTGGCAGCGCCAACTGCATCACAGACACAACAATGCATTCCTCCTCCCCTGGAAGATTCTCTCCCGAGGATTTCTCTTCCCCGGCTGCAAGGCGACGCTACAGGTGTAAATGATGGCCAGCATGCCAAGGGGTGACCTTCACTCGCAGATGACACCCCAGGAGGAGACATAAAGCAAATACATCAGATGACAAAATAAGAGCCAGAGTGCCCTCAGACTCAGAGAATAAACGTGATTTGGACTCGAGATGAATTAGGAGAGAACCCAGATTCAGGATGCAAGGGTCCACTGCCCACAGGGCCGAGGGGGAGCGGGCGCAGCCACAGTGGACAGCAAACCTCAGAAGGGACGGTTACTGGCACGTGGAGCAACGTGTCTGTGATGACGCCCCTGCCCGAGCTGCAGCAACAGGCAGTCTCCCTAACAAGGACATTCACACTCCGGTCACCCCAGGGACCTCTCACCTCTCAGTCAGACCACGCCCAGGCTCTGGGCTGCCTTCTGCAGCAACAAACACCTCCAGAGCTTCCTAAACAAACTTGCAAAGGAGGAAAAGGAATCAGCAAAGTACATCGGTCAGCCTGTGGGAACCTGTCCAGCTTAGGGTGCTTGGGCGGGAGCGGGGCCCCAGGAGAGTATGATAGCCGTGGCAGGAGGCAGCGCACTGTCATGGGAAGGGTTCAGGCGGGTTCTCATCTGCCCCTGAGTTGAAACCAGGATCCAGCAGAGGAAAAGGTCACCTGGGGGTGGCGGGTCCCTGCTTACCGGGCGGCTGCTCACATGGCAGCCTGCAGAAGCGGATCTCAGCGCCTCCCCACGCTCAGGAAGCTCTGATGCTATAACTGCACTTGTTAGTGGAGAAGCGCTCGAGAGCTGAAAACACCTCCCCTGCGCGACCCCCATGAGAGAAGGGATCACTCAGTGCTGGCTATGTCAGTGTGAACGCGAGAAGGGTGATCGTCCAGGAGAGCACAGGTGCTTTACGGAAGGTTGAGCACTTTTCACATTTAAAAAGTAAATACTTAATTTCTTTCTTTTTTAAGCCTTAGGGACAATTATATTTTTAAATTTTAAGGAGAAAGGAAACTATGTCAAGCTCCGTCATTTGAAATTCTTAAAACCTTGACTTCAAACTCACTTCTTTTGGGGGGAAAAACAATAAAAGCCACAAGCAGGCTGCCGGGCAGCACGGGAGACCTGAGGGTGGGCGTGGTGTGTAGGTGTGGGTCTGGGTCACCCGTGCAGCCGTGGGGCTGGAACTAACTCAACTGCAGGTCGGGTTACGGGGCAGAGATCACTGAAACACTGTGAACGTGTCGCTCACGCACCGTGAGGGTGCAGTAGGGGAAGGACTGGACCGGCACCCACCGACTCTCACCTGTCACCTGGGTCCGGAGCGTCTCACTTTCGGGTCCAAGAAAATTTGTATCTAAAGAACTGAGGCCAGTATCAGATCCCAAAGTCTGACCTGTGTACTTCTGATCCGTTCCACAGCAAATAACCTGCACGAGTGGAAACTACAGCTGACTGTGTCGAGCTTGCTCGATGGAACTGAGACCGGAAAAAGTGCAACACTGAGCTGTGTGGACGCTGTTTCACCACCTACCAGGAGGCTTATGCCCAGGCATGTGTTGGGCACAGAGCACCTCTGCCAGGAGACAGGGTGAGAACCTTAACCAGGACCCACGGGGTCTCACTGCTTCTTACAAACACTCAGCATAAAGCCTCGTAACACCTCTGGGCGCCCAGGCCCTCGGCTCCACTCCGCAAAGTTCACAGGGAGTGCTGGCTGTGATGTGAGCAGGACCCACATGGCTCAGTACTTCTCAGAATGGGAGCCGAGGCTGAATGCAATGCGAGCTCCACCAGACAGTCTCCAAGGCTGTGCAACGCCCTAGTTTTCTCCTAGTCGAGAAATACCCCATGTTTTCTCTAAGGGTCAACGTGAAGTAACGCATCCCTGGCCAGACCGAGGTGGCTCAGGTGCCTGTGGACCTGGGCTGGTCCCAAAGTCACAGGAGAAGAGCAGGAACTTAGACTGGCACGTGTCTGCCCAGCGCAATCACACAGTGGATTCGGGGTGCCTCTCTGCTGACATGACCTCACCAACCCTGAGCCCCACCCCCCAAAGTGCTTCCAGCTTAATGGGTGCTGAGGGGCCAGTTCTCAAAGGTCACAGTACTCAGGAATCTGCTTTAAGAAAGTGCAGGTGTAAAAAGAGAAAGTGCAGGTGCCAGATGGACACTTCTGTCCAAGCCGGTGAGGACCGCCCAAGGTGAGAACTCAGGGACAGACCCCACAGGGCTGGGTTTGTCTGGGTGGTTTTTCACAGGAAACACTCAGATTTCTCAGGGTATTTGGTGCGCAGTGAGCGTGACCTTCAACTCACAATCAAGGGCATCATTCCCATTGGGGCACATGAAAACCTGCTGGCGATTCCTTGTTATTACTGCTAGGTGTCAACACTGAGGGACTGGCAGGAAAGGAAATGGCCATTTAAGGAATATTTTTTCCAGAACTAGCAAAAGTCCATTCCCCAAACTTTAGATGGAACATTTCTAGTCTACAGAGGCTTTGCTTACTAATGCTGGCACACTGATGTATATAGATATATATATTTTTTAATTATATACAGTCAAACCTCGGTTCTCGAATGTCTCCCATCTTGAACAATTCGGTTCTCGACCAAGTTGTTCACGGGGAAAATGTCTCAGCTGTTGAACAAAACTTCGGTTCTCGACCCAACAACCCTTGCATGCTAATACCTGTATGATCAGTCACGTGTCTCTCAAGCTACAAACAAAGGAGAGAATGCACAAGTTGAGTCAATTTACCGCTACACCTCACGTTATTAGCATCTCAGGAAATTGTGCTGTGAAATATTTTCAGGGTATTTTTGCTTTTATGGCTGCTCATTATTATTATTAAATATATACAGTAAGTCACCGTGGGTCCTAACAAGGTTAGTGATAGCAGCAAAGGGAAAATAAAAGTTGTGAAAACAGTGATAGAGCTTCAAAGAGAAATAATTGCAAAGTATGATAGAAGCTAATTTTCCAGAGTAATAGGAGTAAGAAAGGTTAAAACAGGGAATCATTTAGGGGTCTGGAACAGATTAATTTAATTTACATTATTTCCAATGGGGAAAAAAAATGATTTGGCTTGGAACAAATCGCTTCTTGAACAGCCTTCCAGAACGAATTAAGTTTGAGAACCGAGGGTCCACTGTATACGTACAAGAGTAAAACTTAACAAGGGACAATGAACATCTGTCGAAACTTTGCTTAAAATATGAAAGAGGTGAAGTGCCATGGAGGCGGCCTGATCCTGTCAACATCAGCGTGGAGGAGGTGGAACTGTTTCCAAACGAACATCCCGGGAGGCAGCCCCAGGGCCACAGGTTAGAGACGCTGCCAGCAGGCAGCACTCCCAGCCCAAGGGGCACTCCCAGCCGGAGGGCGGGGGGAGCCAGCTGGGGCCACAGCTGGGACGAAGGGAGGGACAGCACAGCTTACCTCTGTGCTCGGGCGCAGGGCCACTGGCCCCCCAGCTCTGGCAGAGCGTGGCCAAGTCCTTTGGAATGTAGGTCTTAAAGATATTGAGGATGTCTAGACGCTTCTCATGGCCCTCAGGCGCCGGCTCCTGCTTGACGGCCTGCGGGGTGGGCTGGGCCTGCGGGGCTGTGTTCCCTCTGGAGCCCTGGCTGGCCTTGGAGGGGGGCTCTCGGGGAGGTAGAGCGGGGCCCCCGTCGTCTTTCACCTGCAGCTGACCCTGAGGCTGAGGGCTCAATTTGGCTTTCGGTGGGTCTGGGGCACTGTGCTTATTTGGGGGGCCCAGGCCAGCCCCCACAGGGGCGATGACATACTTGTCCCCCAGCCTGCTGGTGGCCAGGGGCTGGGAGCCAATCCGGGCGATGACAGTGGGGGTGG